ACTGTACCCCAACCCTGGAACCCTCCTCTCTCAGCCTGCGCAGCCCCGTGCAGACCCCAGGGAAAGGGCCCTCAGAAAGACCTCACAGAACCTGCCAGCTTCCTCATTTGTGCGCGTCTTTATCTGGATTCAGGCAGACAACGCTCACGTCTACCAGAGCACAGAAGACAGGGAAACGCATTTCAAACACTCCTGCCAGGGTTTTTTGCATTTTCGGTGTTTTGCTTTAAGCGTGGTTTTTTTTGTTTGTTTGTTTTTGTTTTTGTTTTTAGCAGGTTAACTGTTATTAAAGCCTTGTCTGCTCTATGCAGGCAGATATAGACAACCTCAAAGGAACGGGGACACCCGGGTCATGGAGAAGTTCTGGCAATTTCCAAACCCTTGTTCAGTGCCACTGACTGCCTGATCGCCGACGCCCCGAGATGACTGGCGGCTGGCGCCCACGGACTGCAGCGGCGTCCGGAATGCAGCAGCACGCTCTCACCTGCGCCCACACAGGACTCAGCACAAAGTGGACAGGGCCCTCCAGAGAAGAGTGTGGCTGGCACGAGGGGGCCTCTGGCTCTCTTTCCACTAAACGCACAGGAGGAATGTGCAGGTCACCCTCGAGTTCATGAAACACGCAAAACGAACCATTTTCCCCATGAGGTGTAGGGAGGTGCCTTTTGTAGAATTCAATGTTCTCCACGTTTGACAGTGAGAATCTGATGTAAGAACAAAAAGATACTAAAAGCCGGCAAGCACACACACACGGTGCCACTCCTGGCTTTAGCAAACGACTGCAATCCAAACGCAAGCGTGCTTTTCAGACTCTCAGAGAATGCCTCACGGTGTAGCTTCCAGCCCGCAAGCTCCAAAATAGCACAGAAAACGCACTGCCGTACGTGGGAACCACTCACAAACATTTGATGTTGTTCCCTGCTCGCCGAGCAGTCAGAGCACAAACCCCGCAAGTTCAGACGACAGAGGGCAGGGAGGGAGCAGAGAGAGGAAGACAGAGGAGCAGGCAGACAGGGCAGTGCTGGCTTCCGCCTTCCAACACCACCACGCTGGCCGCAGACCTCCCATCTACCCATTACTGCTGACTTCTGGGGCGGACATGGCGCGAAGGGAGTCAGATTTATATTAGCAGTGAGCTGCTTGCCAGGGAAAAAGGAGTCTGCACACTTGAACGAGAGAAAAACGAAGAGAGCACCTCTGCGCTAATTAGGGCCCATTTAAGCCATTCATTAGGCGGCACGGGGTGCCATGAGCGCCCAGGAGGTGGAGCACGGGGCACAGTGACAGCCGAGCAGGCAGACGGGGCATAACGAGGCTCTCCATCACCCCAGACAGCCGGCCGGGGGCCGTCCCACACGCCAGCGTGGCAGGGACCGGGGGGCACTCACCCACACGCTCCGGCCTCCTCCAGGCCGCCGGGCGCTGCCCTTGCCTCGCAGCCACAGGGAGGGACAGAGGACCTGGGTGCAGCCGCTCCCGCGCCCTCCTCGGCCAGGTCCCACTGCTGGCTTCGCTTTCTGCTGGGCGCAGGGGAAGGTGGGACCTCCGCCAAATATGCAAACCCGCGGGCAGCTGCTCTTCTCGCAGGAAAACGCACACAGGAAGGGAGCCCGCGCTTCCTGTCCCAACCAGACCCAGTTCAGAAATTATTGGGACGTCTGTTGTGTGAGGCTAGGGGCGGAAAAGGGTGCTGGTTCAGTCAACAGGAATTGTGAGTTCCCCACAGGCAGCCATGGCCTTGGGAAGGGAGAGACCCCAGGCCTGCGACCTGGCGGGCAAGCGGGCCCCCATCCGTGACCAGCAGCCGCGGTTTCTCCCCAGGTGGTGGCAGAGGCACCTCCTATCCACACGGGCCAGGGCAGGGAAGCGCAGAGGAACGGCCAGGCCTGCTCTCAGCGGACCCCCAGGGGAGCTGCCAGGGACGCCCACCCCAGGGCCCGGCCCCTGCACCTCCTGCAGACCTGCCTTCGCCGGCAGCCACGTCTCACTTGTGATGGGCAGCACTGCCCTGACTGCTTGACCACACTCACAGGTGCTTTCAGAACAACATGAGACGGGTAGAACACGCCATCAGGCGAACACGCCTAAGTGACTAAGTGACGGCGCTGAACACGGAGGGGCCGGGACGTGCAAGGGTGCTCCGCAGAGGCTGCAGGGAGCACACTGAAAAGCTGGATTTGTTCGGGTAAAAACAATTCTGAATTCCTACACATAAGGGATCTCCAAAAAGTTGGGAAATGAGTTCCATGCAAAAACGATGCTTGAATTTCCCAAAAATTTTTGCACCAGAATAAGCTTATCTTCCAATCCCAGCTTCCACGAGCTTCTAGAAGTGCTCTCACACAGCCTAGGACCTGGACGAGGCAGCCTGAGCATGCAGCCACCTGCTACACTCCACAGAAACGCACTGAAGCCACTGGCCACACAGGTCAGCCGTGCGAGCGAGCAGTGGGTGCCTCAGCCTCAACAGTGGAGTTGCTGTCGCCGGGGCTGGGATCTGGGCGCCCTCAGTGCTTGGCGGAGCCTCAGGACTCCCACGTGCCTCCTGTGGACACCGAGTGTGCAGCGCTGACCCCAAGACACAGGATCCCATGACCCCTTCCAAAGCCGCCTGCGCCTCTGGAGCAAAAGTCACACTCAGCTTTCTCCCTCCGCAGCTCCAAGCCGGGTCACTTGTTGCTCGTACAGCTCCCATGTGTGGGATGAGACTGCTCTGAGGCCCTGCCGACCTGAATGCAGGAGCCGAGTCCACAGTGAGCCAGAGGCAGGAGCCACGAGGCCCCGCCACGCCCGTCACCCTTAGAAAGCAGCGGCCAGCCAGGGCCCGCGGCCAGGGAACCGAGGGGCTCCGGGCTGGCTTTCTCTGAGCTGCGTCCACTAACACCTATCTCCCGCCCAACACAAGAGCCGGCGCTTATTTCCCAGTGCTGTCACTTCCTGACTCCCAGGGGGAGACGCCGCCACGCAGCGCTGCCGTGCCCGACCAACTCTGGGCTCCCCGTAGTTACAGGGACACACAAAACTCTGCAGACACTCAAAACACTGACGCCATTTATGCCTAACGTCACCATTAAAAATCCATTTATTTCAGTAAAACTGTAAAACAATGAAACAGGAAGGGGTTTTACCACTCAGGCCTGCCTGACGATAAAGCTCACTGACACTGCCCATGCGTCTCCCGCCCCGTGCTGTGTGTGTGTGTGAATGTGCACACGGCCTTTCCTTACCTCTGCCAGCTACCAGTACACCCAGAATCCTGATCAGGGACACACGGAGCACCCACTCTACACAGGTCTAGCACTCCTTCAAAATCTCAGTTTTCACATGTATATTGACAATGTGCTACCACATTCATCGAACCCAAAACACACAAATCTAAAGTAAGGGGAAAAAGGCCCCTCACCAAGGAGCCACCTTCTTCAACCTCTAAGCCTCGGGTCGGGTCAGGAGGAAGCCCTGCCCTGCGGCTCGGCAGTGCTGAGAGCTGGCCGAGGCCTTCACCGCAATTTTCATTTCTAACACAGAAACAGCTGCGAGGGGCGTCGCCGTCTGCTTTTCCTTTGAGACCCTGGGATCTGAGGCCCCTGGGGGCAGGGGGTCCCTGTGAGGCCAGCACGGTGGCTGCCATTGCCATGCAGCCCCTGAATTTTGGCGAAGCTGCAGTTTTCCAAGACTCAGCATTGGAACTAAAACATGGACAACTTAAACACACAAGCACCGCAGAGTCTCGAACCCGCACCTTCACCTAGCACCATGGAACAAGAGGGGAAGAAAACACAACTGCTTCACCCACAACGTCTGGTCATCTGCAGGACCAGGAACCACCTTTCTGTATTTCCATGAAAAAAAAAAAAAAGGCAAGAGCACACACGTTCAGGGGCAAATTCTGAAATTAGAAACACTCTCTCAAACCAGAATGGTATAGTTTTAAAATGGAACTCGTGGTTTATAATCATGTGTGAGTCCACGCTATTTCTCTACCATGTTCGGCACACAAAGGCACAGCAGTGGAAGCAGGTGTGTCTTCCCTGCACTCTTACTTGTCTCTGTTTAAATCTTAGGCCGCGTCCTAAATAATCTGCCGAAAAAACCTGCACACCTTGTCCTACAAAGACTGTTCAATCGTCACTTGTCAGAGTCCCGGGTAAAGGGCCAGTCCACTAACCTCGCTGCACAGTCACACAAAGACCTCGGAGAAGCCCTGCCACGTCCCTGCGGCTCTTCTCCGGCCTCCCAGCCACTACGCCCCCTTAAAAGCGCTTGAATTTCCACGCAAGTTTAAACACAACCCGTACGAAGTATTTCCAATTTGCGCAGGTTCCTCTGCTTTAACGGAATTACTTCTTCAGCACCACCTCGCTCTGGAAGCCAGGACGAGGCGTCTCAAAGCCGCAAGCGCCGCTGGGCAGCTCGGGGCGCACGGCGCGGAAACCCACTACCGGAGGGCTGCAGCCCTCGCCGGCCGGCGACAGCGGAGGCTGCACCGCCACACTGCGCCCGAGCAGACCGCACGCACCGGCCACCCACGGGGTCTCTGCATGCGATTCTCAGGGTTTGAAAGCCCTGGCGGCCCCACTAGAGTCCCGAGGAATCGCAGCCTCGCCCGGCGAGCTGACAGCAACCCTTTGAGTGCAGCCGCCGGCGTCCGCGGAACACAGCCGCAGTCGGCGAGGGCACAAACTTTCCAACCCCGGAGCAATGCCCAGTGCGCAGAAACCGGGCTCGGACCAGTGTAATGCTACAGAGTAAGCAAAACGCGCGCACCCCCAAAATACGCAAAGCCTTTACAAATTACTTCAGCGCGGCTGACTCCGGGGGACCCGCTCCGAACGGGCGTTTACCTTTAAATACGCCCAGGCCACACCACTGCGTGCCCCGCACTTGCGCCACGCCTGGGACCGCGGATCCGCCCGCCCGCTCTTTCTCCTTCCTACTCTGTTTTCTGAATCCGCCAATTACCCCCAAGTTCCCCGACTGGAATCCAACTCGGAAAAACTCACGTGGAGTTCAGCGTCGCGCTTTGCGGGCCAAGCCTGATCCTCCGGCCGGGGCTCGCTCTGCCCAGCGCGCCTCGCCCGCCTCGCCCGGGCTCGCCTGCGCTCCGCCCGCCGAGACGCACCAGGCGCGGCCGCCCAGGCACTTGTCAGAGCGCCCGGCTCCCTCGGAGCTCTCCCCTGCGCCCTTTCACAACGACTTCCTGAAGTTGCTCACTCGCAAGGTTCCCCATTTCTCCGCCGCACTCCCCGCCCCCGCCGGCTCCGGCCCGGCTCCGCGCACTCGGCCGCCCGGCTGCCCCGCGCGCACAGCGCCGCCCGCGGGCCAGCACCTGGCGCCCGCCGCCCGCGCGCAGCCACCTGCGCCAGCCGCGAGCTCGCCGTCCCGCCCCGCGCTCCACTAACTTCGGGGTTGCGCGCGCCGCCCGCGTCCTGCTCCGCTCGCCCCGCGCTCAAGCCGCGACCGCCACGGGGCTCGCGGTTCCGGGACACGGAGCGGGGTGCTCGGGGGATGCGGAGAGGGGCGCGCCGTCCCGTCCCCGCCCCCGGCTCCCAGCCCGTGGCGCGCCCGTCGGGACAGCAACTCCGGGGTTGATGGGGCCGCGCGCGCAAACTTTGCTGCCGCGCGGGGCTCGAGCCAGCCCCGACCCAGGGCCGCGGGGTGCGGGCCGTACCTGCTGGTGCCGCCGGCGGCTGCAGCCCGCTCGCCCGCGCCCGGCCCGCTCGGCGCGCCGCCGCCACCCCCGCGCGCAGCGCGTCCGGGCCCTCCCCTCGCCGCCGCGCTTCCTCATTCCAGCGCAGCATCGCACCGCGGCCCAGCGCGGGATGCGGCGGTGGGCGCTCTGCCCGCGGGCCCCGCAGCCCAGTTCGGCCGCGGCGCTGCGGGACCCGCGAGGAAGCCGTGGGGGGCGCGGCGCCGGCGACACGTGCGGACCCGACGGGAGGAGGGGACATGCGCCGCCGACTACCCCTGCGCCCTGGCCGCCAGGTGGCCCGGGGCACCCGCGCCCTCGACCCGCGAGGGGACCGGAGGGACTCAGGACACCGTGAAGCACTTCACGCGCGTGTGGGAGCGCTTGCCGCCCTCCCAGCTTCATGGCCCTGGGAAGGGAGTCCCCTTGGCTCCCGCGTTCGAGCTCGGGCCCCAGGATCCCAGTGCCCACCCGAGGGGTGGGAAAAGTTGATCCTCCGCAAGCGAGGGGAAGGCGCTACTGATTTTCCCAGACAACCAATGGAATACCTCTCGTGGCTTCCCTCCCACCCGCTCGCGGCAGAAGTGAGGATGGCGCCTTCCATCGCGGCCCGCGCGCGCTCGCGGGTGTGGCAGGGCGGCCGCGGGCGGGGGCCACCCCACAGCCCCCTGGTCGCGAGGAGACCCGGCGCTCCTGGGTGCAGACAGGGATGCGCCTCCGACAGCGGGGCCCCTTGCATTCTACCAGGCAGGCCTCGCTGGAACGAGCAGGGCCAGGCCAGGAGCGTGGAGAGGCCGGATCCTGGATCCTGAATTCCCCGGAAAGCAGCCAGGGCCCCTGGGGGGCTGCCATGGCCGGGCCCATGCACCCCATTGCTGCCTTGGGAGAAGTCCCCTCTGCCCACCGTGAGCCCCGAAGAGCTGGTACCCAAATCCTTCCTGGACCACCTAGCGAACCCCAACCTCTCCGTGGGCAGGACAGACCCTCAGGGCACACATCCAGAACTCCTGCTGCCGGAGGAGGCTGGGCCAGCAAAGAGCCCCTGGGTGCAATTCCGTGTACTTCCCTCCACCCGGTGACCAGGCTCCCCAGGGGATGTGCAGGGACTCCTCAAGCATCCTGGCCAGGATGCCATGAAGCAGGTCCCCTAGAGCTGTGGACAATGCTGTCTAGGCAGAGGCAGCAGCACCCTGAGCTCCCAGCAGTCTCTGTAAACCAGTGCCTTGTCCCCAGTGGACCCGGATCCCTCCATGCCACCAAAGCATGTCCTCCGGGGCGTCAGAGCAGAGCCCGAGGGCACAGGCACTTCGGTGGTCTGACCGAGGTCCTCGACCTCCCAAGCTGTTTCCCCATCACCTATAAATCGGCGGTGATATGTCAGCCTCTTCTTGTGATGGTGTGTGGGTTTAGCAGATCCTAAAAGGAAGATCTTGCCATTTGCCCAGTCACTGTTTATTCGACGTCACCCTCTGGATGGGAAGCTTGCGCCAGGCACAGGTGCTCACTGGCCCCCGGGGCAGGTGGGAGCTGGAGGATTGCCAGGCTGCATCCTGGTGTGTGCGACCAGACGCCCTGGAACCCTCAGGGGGCTGCTTGCATCAACTGCTGAAGACTTAGAGACAACAGGAGGGGCCAATCTGAGGGCAAACACATTTAGGGGAACCGAGGCATCATGATACTTTCCACTTTATGTCTATCGTCATTTTGGTTAGATATCAATGATATATAGTGCCATGGTCACAATGTCCAGGTGTTAAATAGTTCAATTTATTCAGGCAATAATGGCTAATTTATTCTCTTGAGAGTGTTACCGTCAAAAGAATGAGGACCACCTGTGGAATCGGCACTCAGGACCGTGACAAAGCCGGTGGGACAGGTCCCAGCAGAGACTGAGAAGTTACTGAAAGAGTGAGTTTTCTCAAGTCCAAGGGCAGCAGAGGTGACGGACTGTGCTAAGGGTTTCCTCACTCACTGTGTGAGTTTTGGGGAAAGTTCCTGCACCTGCCAGACGTGAGTGTCTGCAGAGCGTTCTGACCCCACAGTGGTGTCATAGAATCAGGTGAAACTCACCGAGACAAAGCACAAAAGCAGTACCACAAGCGCATTTTTCTTCAATTAAAAAAATGCCTTAGACAGAGTTGAAATGTGCATTCATGTGGTCGGGCAGTGGCTGGGCAGCAGTGAGGATAGGTCTCAGTACCAGGAAAAGCTTCTTTCTTTCTTTCTTTATTTTAAAGAAACTCTGATGGTCCCTCTTCAGTGTGATCTAAGGGAACACATGGGGTTCCCTCTGAAACTGGGGGTGAGCAGAGAAGGAAGCTCCAGGCTGGCGAAACTCCCGCAGCAAGGCTTTGCCTGTCAGCTTTCTTTCTCCCAGTTTTCATGCTCTCTCAGCTTCCAGGTCTCTGTTTCTGCAAACTATCCAGCACTCCCCGCCCCAGCCCCGCTCCATTCCTGACTCTTTCCTCTGGTCTGCCTCCTTGTTTGGGCCCTGTTGCTGCCTTCTGCTGCAGGTGACAGAGCGGCCGCAGGGGAGAACCCCAGGGGAGCTGGCCAGAGCCTGGGCCCCCAGTGCGGGTGCACTCACGGCCTCTGCCCTGGCACCTCCGTCTTCTGATTCTGAAACAGAAATTCACACCTGCTGCTGACCACTGCACCTTTGAACCAAGAACATGCTGCAGCTCCCACACCCGCTTCCTGATGACTCTACCCCTTATTCCCTTTGCTGTTTGTAAGAGAAAAGCACTCGGATTCCCAAAGGCGGAATTTAGTCTATGGGCATCCTTCGGTTAGAGAGAGAATCAACTGTGTCAGACAGTGATTTGGAGAAGGGAAATCTACACAAAAGCTTGCTGATGAAACGTCTCTGAAAACAAAGAAAGGGCAAGTTCAGAGTTAAGAGACAGAGAGCGATCTTGCCGGCCAGGAAGGGGGTGGCTGCCCCATTTCTGGAGCCAAGCTTGTGGTGGTGGCCGGCATTGGTTTATTGGGCAGGCGTGCACCGTACAGGTGGCGTTTGAGATACAGGTTGCCACAGGAATGCATAGTCTCGCCCCTCCAAGGGGCTCACAGTCTGGAGACGTCCATGGACAACTTGACAATGGCATTTGGATGTAAAACACATCCAGACCACTCAGAGGGAAGAGGGGATGGAGGGAGGGTGAGTGGGGGGCTCACGAGAAGATCTCTCCCCAAAGGGAGAATCAGCCAAAGCCTCACAGTAACGGCGCAGTGACTCCCCCTCTGCCCCCAGCATCCTCTCCACCTGACAATGTGGAGACTGCTGTCTCACTCTCCTCCTGAGGACCTGGGGCTCAGCGAGGGCCACTCCACCGGGCGTGGCTGGGTGATAGACTCGGAGTCAAACTGCTTGGGTGAAGTTGTGTGGTGCGTTGCTAGGGTGCCCTGTAAGCCAGGAACAGTAGCGGTTTGTCATCTGGATGACAACGGCAGCCACAGAGGCACAGAGCTCCATGGAGGAGAGTCCTGGAAGCCTTGGTGTCTGCCCCGCCCCGCCCCGCCTGGTGAGTCACTGATCTGCATGGAGGCTCCGGTCTCATGTCCACGGAGAGGGAATGCATGAATCCCACATCTGCTGTCAGCAGGGAAGTGAGGGGCCCCCTGGGGACCCATGTTGCTACCTTGTCCTCCGGGAAGATGTTTAGAGCAGCCGTCCAGCAGAGTCAGGACACGGAGCGCCCAAAGGGTGCCCCAGGGTCTCAGCTGGGGCTGGGCTGAGGGAGCTGCCAGGACGCTGTTTCGGTCCCCGAGGAGAGCTGCAAAGGAGGAGCTCTCCGTGGGTGCAGCCGGTCACCAGGGCAGTAAGGGACCGTGACAGAAACTCCCACTAACGTTCCCGAGGCAGACACGCGGGACCCCACGCTTGCCTGGATTCTCGCCCGCGTCGCTCGCGGCTCCCACTCCGACTCCCGCCCATGGTACTGGAGCTGCCTGGGGAAGGCCCTCGACAGACCTGCCCCTCCAGTGAGTCCCGTGAGGGCCTCCCAGGATCTGTTTCCCGGCAACTCTGTCCAGACCTCTGCAAAGATCTGCATCTGCATTTCGGGCCGCCTTCTGGAACCCAGGCTGGCGTACGTTGGCACCCCCGCTCCATCTCCCTGAAGGTTGAATAGGCCTGTGGAGGTTCTCGTGTCCCCTGGACCCCTCCCCTCGAAGCTGCAGGACTGTAGCCCCTTCGGCCTCATTTGACAGCTCTGGCACCAGCCGGGGCTGAAACCTTGGCATCATGCGTGGTGCCACTCTTCTTGCCGTCCTGTTCATCAGATCAGTTCTGTTGGCTCTGCCCACACAGGGCTGCACAGTGCAAGTCCCTCCCAGCACGCTGCAGCCTCTGTAAAGGGCCGTGACCTCCTCTTGGTGGCCCCCCCACCCCCCACAGAGGTCAGGGCGTGACGAGGGGAGGATCGGATTGGGCACTGCTTTGCATCACTCCTGGGAGGACCGCGACTCTCGCTCCTTCCTCATGGGCCCCCAGCCCCTGGAGGCCGGCTACCCCTGCCCAGGGCTGCTGCTCTGTTTCCGGCCGCTGAGCCCGGC